AAGTCATGGTAGAAATATTTTTTAAAAATATTTATTACCCCCCTAACTAATTTTATGAAAATGCTAGAAATTGATGACGGTTTTAGTGATTACAATAATTAAAAGCACAGGGCTTTGAGGAATGCAAATCATGATTTTTTTTTTTTTTTAATTGGATACGCAGTACCTGAAAATCAGCTCTGAATTGTAACATACAAAACTCAATAAAACAAAGATATTATTTAATTTCAAATGCTTTTATTTGCTTTTAGTTGTTTTTTATGAATATGGACAATATTTTCTGAAAGCAAAAAAATTTGATGAAAAATGAATTTTTAATACAATTATTTGTTATTTCATTAATTATAATAGATTTTACATTTAAGTTGTTAAAATATTATAAAATTAGTTAAAAAGTCAGATCGGCTTTCATAAGTGTCCTTATTAGATAGATCTTTTTTTTTTAGCGCGTTGTAAATTGTATCATTTTGACTAATCAGAAGATCCACAGTAATTAAGAAATGTAATTTTGTGCTTATAATCGAGCCGTAATTATAAAATACAGAAGACCAACCAGAATATAAGTTCGCGTTATTTGAGTTAAGCATTGTTCTCCGCTGTTAAGGCCTTTTACTTTTTTGAATGAAACACGTGTGGAGAAGTTAATTTGATTTTTCAATTTCAACTGAGAAGGGTACCTACAAGTATCAGTATCATCTTATGAAATTTATATGATCTTATTTTTATATTAATCTCAATTACGACATTTTTCCATAAATGAAATATCAAAATTAATAATAAATTGAATGCAAATACAAATAACAGTAGAATGTAATAAATGTACATAAAATTATAGTATTTTATTTACAATTCTGATAAAATTTCATAAGAAAGGTACCTATAAATTAATTAGATACCTTTCTTAGGAAATATGAAATTTAATGTCACTTTTAACAGTCTTATTTTAATTTCTTTAGAATATATTTTCCATAAAGCATCATAAACGTAAAGGTGAAAGCTAAGTACAAAAAAAAAAAAAAAAATTAGACCGCTGAAAGTTTTCGTTAAAAATAACGGGGTAAATAAGTTCATGTAAATGTAAATTATTTCACTCTTCTCCTCCCGTAGAACAAATTAGCCTCATGGAATTCGTAAATATATCATTCATCACATGTCAAGAGACGCGAAAGTTTATGACCTGCTTTGTTTTATTTTCAAATTACATCTTTTTGGCACAAAAGCTAAGTTAAGTTTGGTTCAAAATATTTTAAATAAACATAATTTCTGATTTTCTTAAAATAAGTTTTGAAAAAATGATAATTGATATTTAAAAAATTTCAAAGTCAGATTTCCAGTTTTTTTTAAAATGGAAAAAATGGTCAATTTTGCTGACTCAAAAAAAAAAAGATTTTTAACGAAAATTTTGGATGTGCTAGAACTATTAAAAATGGAAAAAATACCCCAAAAATACTTTGACCTTTCCTCTTAATAATAAACATTTAGATGATAAAATTTTGTTTTCGTCAAGTTTGGCGTCTTTTTTCATCATGCTATGCTCTTTTTTTTTTAGCGATCTCGTGGAGGTACCTGTTAAAAATCAGCATTTTTATTAATTTACTTTGATGCTATTTAGGTACTGCAGCCACCATCTTGTTTTTAGTTGAATTTGTGCACAGTTTTGTTTTATTTGACAATTTATTTTGGTTCTATTTATATTTTTACAGAATGAATAATTTTTTCTTTAATTTGTGTCATAGATGTGAAAGTTGAGAGTGTCACTGATTAATTAGTTTCAGATTTCTAAGCTGATTCTTAAATTTTTTGAAGGAAAGTTCACCTAATTTGATTCACTTTTTATAAAAAACCCAACTCAACACATCAAATTTAATTGTTTTTTAGGACAATGATAAAAAAAAAAAAAAAAAAAAAGTCTGTAGCTCAGTAGTTCAAGAAATTTTAGTTGGGACCCACTAAATTCACCAGGGTCTCACTCAAATCACCACCTGTGGACATGATTCATTAAAAACTGGAACCTACAACAACTTTGCCTTCCTGGAAGGGAGTGGAGAAAACCAAAAAGTTATCAGCCTAACCGACTTTTCAAAATGAATGCTGCAATGCCCTGATTTTTGAGAAAAGCATTGGGCTGAGAAATTTTAAGCATTGTCTTGGAGATTGAAACTTTTCATTATTTTTGGACCAAACTTGATTTTGTGTGCTTAGCCTTGTCTCGGATTGGAACTCTGACATTAATGCATTTCCATTATATTCCATATATTTTGGGGCAAAGAGAGAGAACATACAAATATGAAGTTGTTAGATTTCTTTTAATTTGGCACAGAAAGAGGAATTGACAAGTTAAAATTCCAGACTAGTCTGTTGTTCACTTTTGCACTGCTATACTTGTGAAAGGCATGTATTCTATCTCTTTGCTGCCCTCACCCTTAACTTCAATACACTCAGCACCAGGTATGGGTTAAATAATAGGATAGACTAGGTTCTAGCTTTGGGTGACAACCAATCTAAGAGAAAGAAAACTATATTGTAAACTATGGGAACAGTAATGGGAAAACTTTCTGTGAAGGAATTTTAATTTACGGATAGTAAAGAAAAGGTAAAGAAAATTTATGAGCAGAGATTAAGATCACGACTTGTGATTGTAAATATTTTATTTGTTAGCAACATTTGCAACTACCATAATAGAAAACATCACCATAGAGCAATGGTTAGTTAGTTTCATGCTAACCATGTGCCACACTAGGCTAAACTTAGTAAATACACTGGTGTGCAAACGTTTTGTGCCAACTATATGAAATGATTATACAGTTTAATTTTAAGTTTAAGATTGTTTAGCAGATTGTTTATTAGTAATGTCTGTAGATCTTGAGGATTGGAAAATAAGTTGTTGCATTTTCATATGAGCCACATAACAGAAGATACACTGCTTTAAGAAATTTAAATTTAAAATATTGGGCCAATGAAAGATCCGAGATGATAGTCATGAAAATATGCAAATTTTCAACTAGGAATTGTTACAATCTATTAACATGAGTGTAAAGTGCCTTGACAAGTCATTGTAATTTTTACACAAAAATCATGACAAAAATTTCTGCTGAAACAAAGATGAAGGTTGTGATTTGAAGGAAGAAATAACTTCAAAAGTGATAGCCAGGCATTTAGGAATTTCCAGAACAATTTGTTCAAACCATTCAAAAGACTTGCTACTGCGGGAAGTGTTTTAAGGGTAAAGAAAACTGGAAGACCATAAAACTTAGACCAGAGTGATGAAAGAAAGATTGTGAGAACATCATTAACCAAAAGAAAAAAAATGGAATAAAAGATTGAAGTGGTTAAAAGAACATCTAACAAATGATGCTGGAAAGTGACAAAAAGTAATTTTTTAGTGATGAATGCAAAATACATTGTAAGACAAGAGAATATGTCAGAAAAGCAGAGGAAAAGAAATGCTCTGCCTATCCCATTAAAATTAGTTACTATATATTTATAATACATCTATTTATTAAATAAGATTATCTTCCATGAATTTTTATGTTTATTATTCTGTTAGCTTGCAAATTATGTATTGTTAAAATAACTGATTGACACAAGGAAATTACCAGTGAATTTTGAACATGGCAGACATCTTTAAATTTTTAGATTATCCAATGACATCTAGTCTGGTGTCATGTAAGAAAGAACATCCTATCAAAGTTAACTTGTGAGTGAGTGAGAGAGGAGGATTATCCTTGATATTTGTAAGAGACAAATAAGAGTTAAAAAGGCCATAATGCAATGAACTCGGTATCTCAGCTGCAAAACATTTTGGAGTGACATTTTAACAATAAGAATTTTAAAGCAATTTTTTTGTTTTCTGACATTGTTTTTTTTTAAATCCAAAAGTAACAAGTGGAAAGGTAAAAGCTTGGATTCAACTGAAACAAAATGAGAATCCATTTGAAATAATAAAGTTGCTCTTGTGAATAGTTCTTTTTGAGGAAGAGAAACTTATGTAATTTTGATTAAAAGAAGTGGGGCCTCTTTACATCACGAGGCAGACTTTGGAAGGGTGGGAGAATATATGAAGCAAGAAGAGCCTGCAGCCTTACCACATAAGAATCAGGTTCACTACCCACAAAGAACATATCAAATGAAGGAAAATACAACCTACATCTGAAACCAAAAGTCATATTGCTTATGAGAGGAGAAGCATTCTCCCAGCGCACACACACACACACACACACTTCCTCTTCTAAGAATGTCTGATATTTCTCTTTTTGAAGGGTTGCTCTAGTGAAAAGCAAAAAAGGTTACAGCCTGAATCATGAGTGAAGTTCTTATTTCTCCCCTCACCACTGAGAATGATTAGAAGCCAGGTAAAAGTTTGTTAGATTTTCTAAGCAGATAGCCTATACCCATTTGGGATATGCATGTAAGAATCTTTGTTTCCCACGCTTAGTCTTGTGATGCAGTTAGGCCATGACTAGTAAATATTAAGAAGCAATAAAAGGCTGCAGATGCAAAATTTAAACAATTTATAGCATCACCTATTTTAGATTTACTATTTGCATTTAACGAGGGGTATTAACATTATCAATAGCAAGAAGACAAAATAGTCCTCATTAACATTTGCAGCCTATACCATTTCATATTTATAGGACTTGAAAATATTTTCAGCAATTATTATTGCAGCTATAAAATACTATACTTCATTACATGAATATCTATTTGTAAAAACCTGTCGTTAGCATGATCAGTTGATTCATTTTCTATGGCTTAACCCTTTGCAGGTTATTTAAAGCCAGAAAATATTTTTAGAATGTAAGAGTTTTTTTTGGGGGGAAGGGAATGATTTAGTGATACAAGTTTTACTAATTAACCAATACCTGGAGATAGGAGGGGTTTATTCATACCTTTCCAAGGGGTATTTGCTCGTGAATATAACAAACCCAACTGGAATTGGAACTTGGCTCTCCAATTAACAATTCCAAGCCATTATCCATTACACCACCCACACATCCAAGCTTACAGCACATGGTATTCACAAGCAGTCACCCATCTAAGTACTAACCAAGCTTAATGTTGTTTAACTTTGGTGATTGTATGGAAACTAGTATTTCAGCATGATGTAATTGTAAGCAGAGTTCAAATACCAGCTGGGAAGGTCTGAGCTTGCTTTGCACTAATGTCCTTTAGAAAGGCATGAACTCATCTCTTCATATTCAATAGCAAAGCAGGCTGATCAGCAAGCAGTATAAAAATTTTAACCCATAGAGAAAGCAATGAGATTATTTCATTATCTTTCTCCTATAACAATCATGACAATGCAGAGTTCTGAGATGTTAATGAAAAAGAAACTGTGGAGAGCTATGACCACCTATGTCCTGAAAGGATATAATATTCAAGGAGGAGGGCCTTTTCAAGACAAAATATGACGTGTTGCTGATGTTAAGAAAGGTGGCATTATTCAATCATCCAAGTATTTCCTCTGGCTGTTAATATGTAACAAAATGACAACTATTAAGAAAAGATCAATAGAGTTCAATACAGCAATGGACGACTGAAATTAGATATACCTAAAGTAGCAGATACTAAGTTTCTTTTAGTATCTCTGCAGTCATAAGGTTTTGTGTAAACATGCTATGATTTAGGAGAAATTTAGCATAATATATGACACAATTGCAAGTGATTTGTGAATATCTATACCAATAACCAGCTGTATCAATATAACTAGAGATCAAAATTGCAAATGCATGTAAATGTCTTTGAGTAAATAATTTCGATTTTACTTTTATAACAAGCATAAGGCCAAGTGGTTATGCCCAACTGAATGTATGCACAATTAAAAGCTCAAAATCTACTTAAAATTATTAATAGAATTATTATTTACTAATAGTTTTTTTTTTTTTAAAGAGATTTTGATTTGTTGATTTAGACAAGACAAATGATAAGTTAATTTTTTTCATTTGTGACAAATTTGATCCAAATTTAACTATTAAAATGCATCAAAGGTAAGATTTTCTTGCACCCCTACTTTCAGATTATCCATGTTATTGGATAAACAGAAGTTCTGTAATAACTATTCAATAATACCATTCTGACTCAATAATTACGCAGCATCACTCATATCACTACAACATCATCGATTGTTAGAAACACATTAAATTATTACAATGTAAATTATACAGGAATTAAATGATTGAATAAATCTGGGAGGTTGCATTAATTTAAATTCCTGTTTGTAATTTTGTCTTGATTGAAAGAGATATTGGACAATCATTTGATGGAAAATTGGTGGTGCACTTATATTTTTTACTGACCTTTCTCCCATGATGTTTTCAGATGTTATAATGAAGGATATAAGGCTCAAGATTGTTGCAATTTTGAGACATTATTATAAACTGGAGCTCAAAGCTGCCAAAATCTCTTGTATAAATTATGAAGTGGAATGAAATTAAATAATATCTATCCAAACCTTTGAAGGGAGGGAGAGAGAGAAGGGGGGGACCAAGAATGGTATGGCAAAGGAGAGGGAAGCAACAAGCTGGCGATCTTGGGGTGAGGTACAAGCAGCAAGTGCAGAAAGGTCAAAGTGGAGACATTTTGTGGAGGCCGTATATGTCATGACGTACTAGACAGAAGCTGACCGAAACTGGTTTAATCACTCTAAGGATGGTAACTTGTCCCTTGGTAAACATTGGGTGCCTTAAAACCCAAGATAAGAGAATGTGTCCACCAATATTTGAAAACTATCAGAGACATTAGGATCATTCAAAAAGATTATGTGTAAAGCATTATTACATAAGCTTTCGTAAATGTATAAGCAAGAGTTGATACCTAACTATAGAATTAGTTATATAGTAGTGTTTCAATTTTTTTTTATACATCTGGCAACATTTATATAGTAATTTAAAAAAACAAAACAAAAATAAAACACTAACTAGTCATCAACTAATTTGCAGCAATTACAATTGATGGATTCCACAACTTGGGATACAAGTTAGACTCATAAGCTACTAACTTATTCTGATTTTCTGAAGTTGAGTTTAATGGCTGAAGAATTGATTGGTTAAAAATAATATAAGTTTAAATATTTTTAAGCCAATCCCACAAAACTTTCAATTGATACTGTTGTTTTGTGGTGAGATATGTTACTAAAAACAGATTTTTGTGGAAAGAAAATTAAAAAAAAATTGAGTTATTCTAAAAAAGGTAGTTTTCAATATAGTGAATATTTCTTTTGTTTCATAATTGCCGTCATCAGTATATTTTTTTCTTGTTATAATTAAAAAAAAACAAAAAAAACATATACTCTTACTTTAGCTTTCTAATACAGGTACTTTATGACTTGGATACAAATAATCCAAAATATATTCTACAGGAATTCTTTGCATTGTAAATGTAGTTATTACACCAAAGCATTTGATTTATTTACTTTTTAAACCGATTTAAATTTAACAGGAAAAATTTAAAAAAAACAAAAAAAAAACAAAAAAACCCTCACCTTTTACAACTCCACAATAACCTGCCTGGGATAGAGTTAAATGTGAAAAGGTTTCACTGCAGAAACAACTTTACTACAACTATTATGGAAAATGACGTAGTGGGAAAATTTGGTAATCTCACAAACTTGATAGTGAGGGTTGCACAAATATAATATTATACTGGACTTTTAGTAAATCCATCTCTTCATGCAATATATTGTTTCAGTTATTACTCTATAAAGGATACTTCAAGTCATACAAACTATACAACTTGGTCCAATCTGGTATGCTTATTCTAAAGACTAGAGTACCTGTGCTATCAAAAAGGAGTAATCACTCATAAATTTACTCAAGTTGGTTTACCCTCTTTGCATTACAGATGAGACAGAAAATATATAAATACACACTGATAATTATTTACATTATTCGGACTATTGTCCTCATCTTTGTCACCATATTTATTACAACATTTCGGCCATTGTACGCTCCGGCCTTCATCAGGTGGTTGGAATGTTGAACTGAACCCTTCATTTCGCTCACTGGGGTAGACTGTTCTAGTTCCACGTGTCATGTTTAATGGATGTCAGTTATCAGTTATCTCCTGTTAATTTTCCTCTGAAAATTCTCCACTGCCTTAACCGGGTATTGAACTCACACTGTATGGGTCCTGTAACTGGATCTAACTAACCTTTATCCACTGTGCCATGTATCCTCAAGGACACATGGCACAGTGGATAAACAGTCTATCCAAGTGAGTGAAATAAAAGGTTCAGTTTGACATTCCAACCGCCTGAAGAAGGCCGGAGCGTACAACGGCCAAAACGTAATAAATATGGTGACAAAGATGAGGACAATAGTCCGAATAATGTAAATAATGTACATAATACCTCATCTCAGAAATATAGACCGATACACTGATAATTATTATAGGGTTTGATAATATTCTCAATTTTTATTAATAAAAATTCCTTTTACCTTATGTTTAATTCCATATAACTTTGTGATAAACCGATTCAACTAATATGTAGAGCGACTTCAATCAACACAATATATTATTCAGTAAGAATTAGAATTACTGAAATAAAAGGTTAAATTTTCTTGATCTTACCATCTTTGTTTTTGTCCAGTTTTGCAAATATTCTGCCATTCTCATCAGCTGCTTCATAGAAGTGTTCTTCTAACTTTTTCATTATCCAGGCTTCAAGTTCTGAAAGTTCCAGATATTCATCCCGATTTGTATCTGCTCTGAAGGAAACAAAACAAAAAAACAAAAAATCATAATACAAATAAAATGCTGTTAACAGCAAGGAGAAATTTTTATGGATTGAGGGGCAGGGAAAGTATCATGGTTCAATTGATATAAAATGCAGTTAATAATAATAATAATAATAATGGTTATAATGAGAAATTGAACAATTTGCTAATTACAAGTAGAATTATCAGTAATTGGACCAATTTACACAATCTGCCAGTAACACTTCCATTAATTTCTGACCACTGACAATCCCTTTCTAGTTTTTAATGCACAACTTACAGATTAAGTGCTGAAACTTGCTTAAACAAATTTGAGATTTAAAGTGAAATTCAGTGCTACATCATTAATTTTTTTCTCCTATTCAACCAGAAATATTTACTTTGTTAAAGTCAAAGTGAAATGGGAGAGTTTTAGTATTGTCAGTGGGCAATAAAATGTAGTTGACATTTAAATACTGAGGATCATTTCATTTTACTGATTTCAATTAAACTAGCCATCACACACACGGTATTTGAAAATTTACTATTTTGGTGAAATCATTTTCAAAAATGCAATGTCAAAGATTTCTGTCATTGGTGCATATTTTTGTTTTTACAAAATGTTGATTGGTTCATGATGATTTTTGCCTAATTTTTTTTAGATCCATTTTAACTGATGACGAATATAGAACAAGTAACATGGAAAATAAAAGGCTTGAAATTAGAGAGAAATTTGAAAGGAAGTCACATAAGAAATGTCCAACAGACAAGGCTATTTGTGAGTTAATAAAATTTTAGAAAAACTAGATCTGTGCATGATGACAGCAAAAGTGGATGTCTAAGAAAATCTGGGGAAAGAATTCGAGAAGCATTTGAACAGGATCTGCAATTATTGGCTCACAGGGCATCAAACATGCTAGAAATTTCACATGCATCAATCCACAGAATCCTAGAAAGTAATCTGAAGAAAAAGACTTATCACATCCAGGTTTTTCACAGACGACAAGAAGAGGATTATTCATACAGAATAGTGATGTGCATTGAGCTTATTGATTAAACTGAAGGTGCCAATTTAATTTAAAGACTGTACGTGATTATCTTAACAGATGCCCCCCACTCCCAGAAAACAAAAAACAAACAAAAAAAAACGGTGGAATGACTGGGAAGAGCACACAATCATGGAGAACATGCTCACCCTATTTAACACCATTAAATTTTGTTGCCTTGGGTTTCATTAAGTCTAAGGTGTAAATATAAAAGTGGACACTGAGATCAACACCAAGTGACAACAGTGTTTCCTGCTTCAACGCAATCTTCAGAAGCAGAAAACAGAGTTGTTGCTTTCTGAACAGTGTCTACTTTTATAGTTATACATGCTGATACTAAGCACTTTTACCTATAAATATAGCATACCTTAAAACTATATTTTTATCATCCTCACACACCATAATATTTGAACAGTTGCACATAATATAGCCACATTATGAGATTAAAAAAAATAAAAATATACAGTTTTATATCATATTTATATCAATCCACCCCCATAACATTATTATCATTTAGTCTTTGATTATGGTACAAAGGAGTGCAATGAAAAAATTGCAATTATTTTCTTGATTAAGCCAAGAACTTTTCAGCACCACTTCATACAAGCTATTCAGCTCATCAGTTCAAATTGGCTAACTCTTTATTTCAGGGCAATAATTACTTGGATAGACTTGTATATTATTACTCCTGCAGTGAATTTCTCATTAGATGCATTCATATTTCTTGTCTTAAACCAAACTAAGCAATCCTGAAAGAATTGCAATAAGTACTTGCTAGTATGGTTCAGTGGTAGAGCAGAAAACTAGTAAAGGAGAGGTTAGATATTCTGTTTAATTTCAAATCAGAAGCAAAAAAATATTCATATAATTATCAATTGACATCAACTTGGTTTCTTAGAATCAAAATAAATAAAACTAGGATCAGAATTTGTCAATAGGCAAATTGTAAAGCTGATGCAACCTGTTTTGCAACATATGTTTGGTGGCAGGTGGGGGGGGAATCCTTAGCATTTAACAAGAAATTAAATGTTTTCAAATAAGTTTTAGGTGAGAAATAACTTTTTCCAAAGAGCACTTGTCAATAAGTTGAAAAGAGTAAGAAAAAAAAAAAAAAAATTTCTTGCCACGTGGATACAGACTGAGGAAAATGTCAGACATTGCTTGGATAATAGAGAGAAGAGAGAAAAAAAAAAAAAAAAAAAAAAAAAGATATATTGTGGGACTGAAAATTCATACAATAATTTATTTTTCAGGTTCCTTGTGAAGCAAAGGGATCACAACCTCACTTGTTTATGTTTCTGTTACATTTTCAAGAGCAAATGAAATTTTCTGGGACACTTTATACTTAATTGTAATTTCCATTTAAAGTTAATTTTAGTGAATTAAAAATTTAAATAAAAAAAAAAAAATTTTTTTTAGATACAAATAAAAATTGCAGTATTAAGTAAAAACACTAGTCTCCGAATGATCGGATTTATTCTGAGAGTATCCTAGATTTTCATTCTGATAACAAAATGAGAATACTAGTCTGAATAACTTGGACAAATGAAAATAAAAAAAAACTTAGAAAAAAAAAAAAAAACAATTTTTTTTCTTATAATAACCAAATGTTTACTAATAATCGGCCACTCCCTCTCACTTATTTTGCCAACTTAATAAAAGTTTTGTGGATTATTATATATATATAAAAAATGAATTTCCCACAGATAAATATGTTGCATAAAATTTTAAACAAAAACTATGTCAAACTAAGCTATAGCTGTATGCCTAATATGACCAATTTAATTAATAAATATAATAGGAGAAAAATGAAAGACAAACCACACACCGCCACCCCTAAGTGTAATTGTAGGAATAAGGAAGCCTGCCTTCTCCAGGGCAAATGCCAACAAGAGTGTGTGGTTTATCAAGTAAAAATATAAAAGGATAAACCAAACAATATCAATAAGTACCCTAAATAATAATACCCAGAATAATTTCAAAAAACAAAACTATAACCACCTTAGTAGTTTCAATAGCAAAACTTACAAACACAGTTACTACCTTGTCCTCTTATGTATGGAAGATCAAACAAGAAGATAATAAGAACCCCATTTTGAAATGGGAAATATTAAAAAAAATGTTACAAATATAAAGCAGGTGATAAGTTTTGTTCTCTATGCACGGAGGAAAAATTAGCTATTGGTTGCTATAAAGAACCCAATAATTTATTAAACCTAAAATTGGAAATTCTTAGTAGGTGTAGACATAAGAAACGCTGGTTATTAGAGTAGGTTTTTTTTTTGTTGTTAAATAAAGTACGTAACCCCTAACCCCCTGTTGTTTGAGTTTTTACTATGTTTTTTTTTTGTCACGTGGTCATGGTTGTTTTTGGTTTAAGCTATAAATTCTGTTCCATTTTTGGCCAGCATTGCCCTGACGGTCCGTTTAGGTGAAACCTAGGTAGGTTTGCTTGGCTCCTTAAGATTATCTTAGGTTTTGCTCTACTTCATGTATTAAGGATTATCTTGCATATATAATGTTTTTTTTTAACCAACACACAACGACTGAACCATTTTTATAGCTATTTCAGTAATTCATTTTTTTTTTTTTTTTTTTTTACATCACTGAATTAGTTGTCAACTCTTTAATGAGCATGGGCTCTAAGGTGGATCTTTAGCCCAGCAAAGGACTTGCACAACCTGAAGCACATATGACACACAGTTTTTCTTGGATTAAATTGAGCAACAATATCCTCATGAATCTTCACATCTTTTCAGAGATAGAGATATATATATATATATATATATATATATATATATATATATATATATACACACATTGAAAGCAGTTCTCATACAATTATCGAAGCTAAGCAAAATCAAGCCTGGTCAGTACCTAGATGAGTGACCACTTAGAAATACCCAGTACTTTAAGCTTGGATGTACAGCTAGTGTAATGGATAATGGCTCAGAATTGGTGAGCTAAATTCCAATTGAGTTCGTTATATTAACTTATGTGCAAATGCCCTTGGGAAAGGTATGATTCCACCTCTCACAGCCATGGCTTAATTAAAAGGACTTGTATCATTAATTCACTATAAACTCCAAAAATTCTTATAATCTAAAAATATTTTTTGACTTTAAAAATAAGCTGCAAAAGGTTGATAAGCCATAAAAAAAAAAAAGAAAAAAATAATCATTCAATGAAGACGGCGAAAACTGCTTTTCTCGGCTTGATCAGGTTTTGGGAAGAGTCATGTTGATAACTTTTCAGCACCCTCTTATTTCCCTCATATTTCATGACATGCCAGTTCAAGAGCAGAGGCAGGAAGATTGTAATCTGCCAGTTTTGTTTTTATTTTAGCTTACCATGAAAATCAGTATTTAAAATTGTTTTTGACCCAAACTCAAACACTAACTACAGGTACTGGCAGAAGATATAGCACTATCTCAACCATGGAGCAAGCCTAAAAATCTCATTATCAAGGTATTTTTTCCCCCTTTTATTTATAAATAGGTAGTCAAATTATATTCAAATTAATATACTAAGTAAGCTGTTATTAGCAAGGTTTATTTAAACCTTTCAGCTGCTCAACTTCAAGAGCTGTTTTTATTTTGGCTTCTTAATCTATCCAGTGTTATGGTTTATCACAGCATATCTACAGACCATCCACATATATATTTATATAGCAGTTAATTCATCTATATTAATTATTAAGCATCCATATCAATGTGTGGCTGTGTCATAAGAAATGAGCAAGGAAGCACAGTATTAGAGAAAAGGTAGAAAGAATGTACAAGTAACAGATTTTTCTGGTCCTTTGCAGATAAAATAGTTATGAGGAAGTGGATTGCCAAGGTAGTTTCACAACTACTCTTTTCTGTTAATCATGGCATGCCAGTAATAAGACATTTTGTTCAGAGATCTTCCAATTGATAGAGAAATGGATTCATGCTTTTCCTAAAGGTGTGTGAATATAAATAT